AAACCAGTTCACCATAGGCTAATTAATTGCACCATAGATGAATGGTGTTGGATCCCACTGAAGTAAGCAACAAAACCTGTGTTGGTTTCTTCATTGCGGTTTTTGCCAGTCTTCAGCAAAGGCCAAAAGAGAAGCAGATCTCTGGATACTTACATGCAAAAAAAACCCCATTTCTTCCCTTAATGAACAAAAAAAAAATATTATGGCCATAGCATGCTTCTTGCTGAGTTGCTTGTAATCTAATAACATAAAAACTGAACATTCTTTAGTTGGAAAAAGTACTTCTTTTTAATCGAAGGATTAAATCACTAATCGGAGACTATTAAATTACAGATTATTACATCATTAAGTGCAGGTATTAAATTATGTCACATCCTAAACAAAGCAAGTAACACTAAGCTTATACTAAGAAAATGAGATGTCAAAAAGGTGGCTCTGGGAAAGATTTTTTTTTAAAAAACCCAGTAAGGCCATATCAGGATGATGATAAAGTTCAGGTTTTCAGTCACGCACAAGACAGTAGATTCAGTGTTAGCCTTAATTCCGTACCTCTGCATCTATATGTTATCATAGAGTCCTTCAATATATCTTTTACAGTCTTCAAACTCTTTTGATGCCCTTGCAAAGCCAGACTGGTTTTATGCATTTCTTTCACTGCATCTTTCAGCCATGAGGATATTCTTGCCTGGGTCATCTTTTATCTGCAGATGGGTTTGCTCACTATAATGATAAGAAATAATTGTCTTTCTGAATTAGACTAATTTCTTTCTGTGGTGCTCATCACAGAAAGAAATTTAAAAAGTAAAGTATATGTAAATAAGTAAAGTAAATAAAAAGTGTTAAGTAAGTAAGTAAATTTACTTTGCATCAAGCTGTAAAGTAAACAGGATTTTCTTATCCCTCCTTTCACATGTGGGAAACAGAGACTAAAGCCAAACACTTTTTGCAAGCGACCACCTTGAATTAACTCAGCCTGAGCACCAATAGCTCTAAGTGAATTTCTGCAGATTTCAGTTTGTTTATTGTGGCATGAAGACTATCCCACAAGAGTAGGCTGACAGAGCATTATGGCTTTTACTTAGTATCAAGCCAGGCATTTGAATCAGCAATTAAGAAGTAAAGGTCTCTTTACATCTTTATTGGTACCTTTGCACCAGGCAAACTGTATAACAAAAGTCTTAAAAGTCAAGTGCCATCGCAAACAGTTGAACTTTTTTTTTTTTTTTTGTTCACTGTGCCTGTCTGCATAGCTGCATTTTTTTCTTGAATTTACAGCTTCTGTCAGTCCCCTACTTTTAAGAGGCAGTTTAGCTGATTTAGGAAGTGAATCAGTAGGTTTAATGGACTACACTGATCTTACTTTAAACAGCTAATTTTCAATATCCTCTGGGCTATTTGAGACAAGCGGGAATAGTGGTGCTGGTCTGATCTGATTACATTTCATTGTAGTCTCCAATGATTGACTATTTAGTACATTTGAATCAGGAGAAAAAGCTTTTTGGTTTTTAGACTGCCAGTTCATATGGATTTCAATCTAGTAAAAGCTGGAAGCAGTTACCATCTTTCTGTGACATCTCCATGAGGTTAGGTGGGCAGAGTCCAGGTAGCCAAATAGAAAAAAGAAATAACATAAGAAATTAAAAAGACGCAGCCGGCTGGAATGAAATAATTTGACTTCGTCTGAGAGCAGAACTAGCTGTTTGCCTGAATTCTCCCTGTACAGCTCAGGCAATCTGAAGGAGCTGTGTAACTTTGCAGCTTGTGCTGCCCCTAATCGGTAGAAGGACTGTCAGTTTGGCCTTATTCTGAGCACTAAGATTAATTTAAAATGTATCTATATACTTGCCTATGGCCTACATCTAATGTAACCATTTATTCTGGGGTGATAGTGTTGTAAAAATTTTCATGTCAGTGACCAAGCAAAATAGTTGGGTTTTGTTTGGTTGTGTGTGAGGTAGCGTGGTGGTTTAACGCGGGCCAGCAACTAAGCACTATGCAGCCACTTGCTCACCCCCCCTGGTGGGGTGGGGGAGAGAATCGGAAGGGTAAAAGTGAGAAAACTGATGGGTTGAGATAAAGACAGTTTAATAAGTAAAGCAAAAGCCGCACACGCGAGCAAAGCAAAAAAGGGAATTCATTCACTGCTCCCCGTCGGCAGGCAGGTGTTCAGCCATCTCCAGGAGAGCAGGGCTCCATCACGTGTAACGGTTACGGGAAGACAAAACATCATAACTCTGCACGTCCCTGCCTGCCTTCTTCTTTCCCCAGCTTTATATTGCTGAGCATGGTGTCACAAGGCATGGAATATCCCTTTGGTCAGTTGGCGGCAGCTGTCCCGGCTGTGCCCCTGCCCAACATTTTGTGTACCCCCATCCTACTTCTTGGTGGTGAGAGAAGCAGAAAAGGCCTTGAATCTGTGTAAGCACTGCTCAGAAATAGCAACCCCCCCCAGTCTCTATGTATTCGTTAGAATCTTTAATTCTTCATATTTTAATTGACAAAAATTAACTCTGTCAATAGATCTTATCTGTTCTGTAGTTTGAGGCAATGCCACTTACTGTGCATAACCCTTGGGTATTTTATTCTGTCAGTGTCTCACAGTGTGCTTTCCACTGCAAAAATACTTCCTTGAACTGGTTTGTTTAGATTGTATAGTTTTGGAAGTATTTCCTGTTTTGGACAAACCTCCTCTCTGAAAAGCCTTTGTGAACTTTCAGGGGCAGATCAGTATGAACTTTCAGTAAAGATCTCCGGTATGCATGTCTCTTTTGATAGACTTCTTTTTGTAGCCTATCTTTAGATACTACAAATTTTGTTGTATATACTTTAAATATTGATTCTTGTTCAGACTTTGGGAGCTGAGACCTTTGGAAATAGTTTAGATCCTCACAGCTGTGTGGTACCTTTGTATTTAATAAAATCAGCATGCTTCCTTTCTCCTAAAGCACAAGGTTATTTTCAGTGTAGTTTCCTTGAAGCTTGCGTTAAAATCAGATGTTAAATTCTGAATTTGCAACCAGAGTGGATAGTCGCTGCTGTGTGGGATGATGGATACCTTCCTTTCTTGTCCTTCCTTCCATGTCAGCTCAGATCCCTTCCAGTTGAAATGAAGTACCAGCTAATCATAAGATATATGAAGTAGTGAAGACAATTCTTTGGAAAGACCTTTGCTAACTCCACTGTATAAAAAATTCAGTTGCTCCTACCTTGTGAAAGTCTGCTGTGTTTGTGCATGTGTTCTCATATATCTTCTGTTGAATGTTGCCTAATTTCTTTTGATGTCTGACTAACCTCATTGCAATTTCCTCAATTGTTGAAGTGGCAGAAAACTTTTACGTAACATGAACTAATAGTAGCAGGTCTGTTCTGTTCTAGCTGTTGAATTATTCTGTGACTATTATTCAAGTCCCTCAGTATTTGCCATTTATTTGGATGATTGATGGCAGGCAAATTAGACCACAGGCTCAGGGCAGGGTTAAGTAATTTCTAGTGTATTTTTACAGCATTTGCTGAGATGAGGCCCTGATCACAAATCAGAGGTTTAAATCCCACTGCAGTATGTATCACTAATGGTATGCAGTATTGCCGTCTTCAGCAGCGTGTAGAATAGCCCTTTTTCTGGCAGTGGTGCAGACCCACTCTTCAGTCTCCCGTTAGTAGACTCCCGTCATGTCTGATGTACCAGTCCAGACTGCAGGCTGGTATGTGAGATGGGAGGTCTGTGTCTGCTGAGAATCCACTTCTACGGCTCTGCCGGTAGGACTGTGAAGATGCAATATATGTTGGTCTTCTTGAACTGCAGCACTGGGTAGATGAGGTCAGGAGGATGCCTGTTCTTCATTTTGTGCGCCTCGAAGGTTAGATAAATACTGCGAGTCACTGGTATTTATTTCTGAGTGGGGATGATAGAAATAGGCAAGGAGGTAATTAAGATCTAGATAGTTTTTAAGTATCTGACAGTTCAGCCCGTTAGCATATCTCATTGACTTAGTGAGAGACCTACCTGTGATGTCTGGGTGCCATCAGAAACTAGGCAGCACAGAGCATCACATACCTCTCTCAAGTTAAAACCACATGGATTGAAGTGGATTGCACTGTTACTGTCTCTCTGTGTGCTAGGTAATTCATCTTTCCCGCATGCTTTGTGTCTGTGCTGACAGGGTACTTCAGGTCACTAATTACTAATCTTCTGTTTGAGCTATACCAATGCTTATCACTCCTACTTCAGTACTTGGCAGACTTGCAGTTGAAGAACAGATTTGGAAATCAAGGTGAGAGAAGAAAGAAAAATTGAATACCAGATATCTTCAGTCATGTTCAGATGCTATAGTGCTTCTTGTCCTTACATATGTGATTTATCTGTTGATAAGCAGATGCAGTAATGCCCACCCTAGTCATTTATGTAACTGTATGGGTAACTCCCAAATTTTTTTTCCTTCTTGAAATTCTCTTGCAGGGTAGATGAAAGTTCATCAACTCAATAGTAACACTGAGTTTCCTGTGACAAAAGAAAGCAACTTAGAGTAATGTGTACTTTAAATCATGGGGCTGTCAAGGTGACACTGTTATTTTTGCTGTTTATCTGCAGAAGCTGGAAAAGTCTGACTTGGATAACTGGGAGAACATCAGAGGACCCAGTCTGTGGGAAGATTCCAGGACTGTTCAGAAGCAAAGGAGGGAGGCTCTCCATCTCAAGACAGAGTGATTGAGCAAGCCTACTTCGGTGCCTCTGCAAGAAAAAAGAAAAAAAAAAAGTCTCAGGCTGGACTGTTTTATCTTTTAATCTGGTATCAGGAACAGACATGGGAGTGAGGGATTGCACTGAGCAATTAATGCCCATGTATATATAAGTAATATGAGATCAATCCACCAGGCACTGTATTATATGAAGTTCTTTTTATCCATTTGCAGAGTTCCACAGGCTGTATATATAAATTCTCGATTAAAAAAATAGCTGATTATTCTGCCAAGAATATCCCATTGTTTTTCAATCCCTATCATTCAAAAATGAGAAGCTTCCGCAAAGAATAACATTTTAGGAGTCGCTTGTCAGTACCAGAAATTGTCATCCTAATGAGAACAACAGTGCTGTCATTTAGATGTGTGTGACCAGATAAACGCTCCTTCAGGGAGCGCCTGCATGACTTCAGGCTTTTAAGCTTGGAAGGGACTCCACAGGCATATGAGCTGTTCAGAACAGTGAGTACATTTTTGGCTAAATAATATTCTTGTGTTTTATTTCCAGGAACTTGACTGTACAGAGGCATGTACAAAGTGTCAGCTGGTAATTGGTCAAATAACATTTGTTTAGCTGTGGTTAGATTTTTGTGATTATTTTATTGATACCTTTGCGCAGGCAAGAACTTTGTGCTGGAGCTTCTCAGTTTAAGTTGAAAGAATTCTTCCCACTAAGAGCTGTGCTGTTTCTCTGTGAGAAAGTATTGTAGCAGAATCTTCTTGAACCACTATATAGTGGCAAAGCTCATCTTACCTGTATTAATGCAGGTATATTTGTGCATGGGCACAGAAATCTTTTATCTTTTGATGAATTCTTCTGAAATGCTTTTCTTTTTTTATGTGCTAAATGTTTGCTGTTGGAGGAAACCATGCAAACATTCAGGACGCTTCAGCTGAGACAGTTCAATGAAGAAGCATCTGGTCAATTTTTCAAATGAAATGAAGCTTTTGATAAGGTGTTACAACAGACTTGTAAAACTCCTCATCAGAGGAATGGAGTAGTAGAGTAGAGATTAACAGTAGATTCTAGTTTCAAAGCATTCGGTGACACCTATGTGTAAATCCTTTTGGAACTGTCTTTAGAAGAGGTGTGGTCTTATTCCTCTCTGCAAGACGTGTCAAATGCAATCTAAATGTCCTTTTGGACACTTTTTTTAGGTTAGCCTCTTTGTCCTCACGCAAATCTTCCCTTAGCGTTTAATTTTCTTCAGTCTCTCAGTGATGAGGTCTAGTCTTTCTTTCAGGAGGAACAATCAACATTGTTTTTTCAAGAGTTGTAAAGCAATTCATGAAGCATTAGATGAAATATCTTAGCCATGTTTTGTGCATGTTTTCTTCTCATAGAGTTGCAAAGACCATCAGAAAGTGTTGCATGTTATCTGGAACAAGGTTGGAGCTGTGGGTTTGTGTGTTTCTGTGTTCAGTATTATACATATCTTGGTTCTAAATAAATGTAATAACAAATTAAACCAACCAGGAGAGGAACAAGAGGAGCAATACAAGAGTGAGGTAATCATAAATGCTATAGGAAAACAACTGAAAAACTGGAATATGGAGGCATTAAGCTGTGCTAGACCTAGACAAGAAGGAAATTGGTTTAATCATTTTGTCATTAGTTCTACCTAGAAGGTAAAACTATTAGGCAAATAAGATATAAAATAGGACAAATAAGGAGTAATTAAAACTGTGTACCTTGCTAAGCACTTTTTTGACCTTTAAATTCAAATTCTGGTGCAGTTCCACTAACAGCAGCAAGACTGATTGGTCAAAGGACATCAATGCATTGACTACGCTGACAGAGTATTCTCCAAGTTAGGGCTTCTGCAGCATCACTGTTACTTTTGTGGTACCATCTGGACTACTGGAAGTGTTTCTTTACATTCCCTGGTATAGATCCATCCTGTGTGGGCCCTGCAAATTCATTATGTCTTTTCCAGAGGATACACATCTTCCTTTTCCCAGCCCTGACTGGAGGAGGGGGGAAGTTGCCATTGCTTTGTATATGGAGTGGTATGATGAGCTCCCAGGCTTGCAACATTGGCTCACACCGTGGACCAGCACTACCCCTGAAATAAACATATGGCGTTCTAGGAAAAACATGTGTAGGAAAAGCTACCCGTTCCCCCAGGGGAAGAAGCAAAGATATTTCTCTTTCATGAAGCCCTCAGGCTTATCGGTTTTCCTGATGAACAAAACACTCACTGAAATACCCTGTGTATTTTTAGTAATTTTATATTTTGGGAATGGTCATCTTATTTCCACAGGTCTGAAATGTAGTTTTAAATAATTGTATGTCGTAAGTAAGGATCCAGTTTTAGTTGGTCGTTTGCTCATTGTGAGGTCCTCCCACCCCACCCTTTTTCACGGGCACTAAATTTCCTGCAGTTTCTGAGGGGGTATTTCTAAGAAGTGGCATCTCTGGAAAGTGATGGATTTATCTTAGCTTCTCTGAGAAACGCTGACATGCAGTTGGAAAACTTTCCAACTTGCCCTTTTCTTCAACTTCCCTTTTAAGAGACGGCCCTTATCTATTGACAGTCCACTAAAAGTATTCCCACTTTTTTTTTAATCCTGCAGAAAAGGTTATGAATTAAAAAAAAACCAAAAAAACAAAAAAAACAAATCAAAAAGAATAACTTTTGGCAGGTACAGATGCTGTACTTTTTATAAAATGGGGAGAGCTATTTCAGCAATTTCTCTTTATTGCCACGCACTTGGACAATGGCTTCATGTTTTATGCTGTGCTTTTCTTAGCCACTGAATTGGAAATAATACTTATGAAAGGTGTGTTGAGAGTCAATGAAAGTCTCTTAAGTTGTCATGCATCCTAAAGTAGAAGGTACTCCAGAAATGTGGAGAATTATAGCTCACAACACTAGCAAGAGAGGCAAACTTCACTTGGTTCAGGACTCGCACTTAGCTTGGCTGCTTCTTGGAACTATCCTTTTGAAAGCCATATTGCAGCACTTCTGGTTCTCTCTCAGGCACCTGGGGACAACCTTGTTCAATTCCTGAGCTGTTATTCTAAACATCTGTGGGTGGGGGGGGCGGGCAGGGGTCAGATGCGATTGTCAGTCTGAGACAGTGATTGACATTTTCGCATCCTCTTTGGTAACTGGCATACACTGCTCTGAGAGGAGTCAAAACAAGGCTTTAGTGAGAAGTGTGAAGTATCAAAGGGGTAAAAGAGAGGACTGAAGCAGCCAGATGTTCTCGTTAGTGTTGCTGAAATTAGAAATAGAAAAAGGAAGTCTGGCTAGGTGTCTGTGTGTATGCAGCCTGAAAAATCAGTTTCAAAATCCCTGTTTTGACAATAAAGGAGGAAATGTTTATCTTTCAAAGAAACTGTGGCAAGGTTGGTCTCCGGTGTCTTCCATTACAAGAAAAGCAGTAGGACATAGAAGCGGAGGGAGTCTGGGGCACCTGTCTCCAGGGGTAGGGAGAGCTCAGTGTAGTGGGTATCCAGCTAGATGGTTCCTGGCAGCAGCTATCTGCAGCCCAAAATGCTAACCACATCTTTGTATGAGATCAGCCCTGTGCATCCTGCTGACTGAGTGTGTTTCTCCTATAGCACTTTGCATTTGCAGACTCGTGGATGACCGGAAAGAGAAAATGCTCGATATCATAGTTCAGCTGTAACACAGATGAAGGAGAGGCGTAGCGAAAGCTGTAGCTGCTGTGATCCAAAAAAGGTTTCAAAACCTGCTCAATAGCATAGCAGTTGAATTTTGAAGCTCCTAAATACATCTGGATGAGCAGCTGGGTCTTAAAAACTTTTAGAATCAAGATGCAGAGAACAATCTTGCCAATGGTGATCCTCCAGGATCTTGGAAATGGCTCCAGCTACCCCCAAAAAGGTAGGTTATGGCATAATAAGAGATGAGTGATGGAAGTTTTAGACCAGAATATAGAACGTAGGAACTTCTGAAAAACAACTTAAACATACTCCATGATCAGCTGGAGACCAGTCCCCAAAAGCAGAGGGAGAAATCCATTTCTTCACAGAGAAGCAGCAACTTGGAGGGATTTAAAGGTCAGTGTTCAGTGGATGTTTTACATGGACGCTGTTTCACTGTATGTGCATGTGTATAGGTGAAACTTAAAACAGTAGCTTTCACCTTCTGAAATAACTACATAGACCCTTGTACTTCTTGATGATCTTGCATTTGCTCTGAGTCACCGTGTTTGAATTTCCAGCACAGGTCCAGGGCAAGTTTCATTTTTATATCTTGTATTTTCCAGAGGCTTTTCTTTCTGCAAGAAATGGGAAAGCCTAATATTATCCTCTGCTAGTAACTACTTTACATCCACTGGAAAAAAAGAAGTAAGAATAAAGAAACAGAGAAAAGAAGGGAATGATCTGTCTTGGGGAAAGCAGAATAACTATTTTTACATGAAGATGGTCAAAGAATTTTCCATAAAGTTTTATGGTTAAAAAGGCTGCTTTTTGTCAGTGTTTTCAGTGGAAAACCTCTTTTCATCCTTCAGTGGAGTAAGGTTCAGCAAAAAAGTTCCGCTCTATTTTAGACTAGCTAACTAGGAGGTTTTGATCAAAGGAAGGTAATTGCTTGCTGTTCGGCCTTCTTTTCTGACAAGGCTCACAGCCAGACTCAGCCAACACACAAACAGTCTCTAGACTTAGAAACAAAAACTCCGTGCAGATGTTTTTCTTAAAGTTGTCCTCACCCCAGGAGCCCAAAACAGCCTTTCATACCACTGGAATCAGACCGACCATATTTTCTTGTTGAACATGTGCTTTAACTGCATGTTTAATTCTCTTGCTTAACACAGACAGGCAATTAAAGTTTCACCCTGACCATCTCTGTGCTGCTTGGGACGTGTGTTAAAATTAAATTCAACCCAAGCAGCAGCTGGTAGTGCTGCAGAAAGGACATGTAAAAGATAGTTAGACATTGCAAATGTGAAAAGTAGTATTGTGTCATAGTCACAGGTCATATGAGAGAGAAA